GGTGAACTAGACCACCAAGACCTCTCACTCAGAGCAACGGTGAACTAGACCACCAAGACCTCACTCAGAGCAACAGTGAACTAGACCACCAAGACCTCTCACTCAAGACCTCTCACTCTGAGAGCTTACTTACTGCATAGTAGGGAGGAAAATCAGGAAAGATTATAAAAGTCCTTTCTTTCTTCCCTGGGGCTTTGTTCTATCCATTCATTCTTCCTGGCTTCAAACTATCCATTTGTCTCTTTGTGGCTTTCCCTAATCCTGTCTCCTTCTTCTTCTCTGGGCCATCAAATTACTCAATGAGATCAGTGGACTTGGCCAGGTGGTATCTGCTCTACTCTCATTAGACTTTCAGAGTTTTCCTTTTACTAAAAGGAGTGAACAATGTTGGAGTTCTGCCCAAATCCCTCTTTGGCCCTTTCAACTGTTCCTAAGTAAGATGGGGGTGGTTCCACAGTCTGATTTCAGTAGCCATCCCCTGAATTTCTCCTGGGCTACTAGAGCTTTGCCTATAAGCACAGAGAAGTACCCAAAACCTCTCTTTCCCAGGTGAGTAAGCCGCACTTATCACCAGCCCCAAGGCACACTCTCAGGGCTGTCTTCTTTGATTCCTTAGTGGCATCCAACACTGTTGACCCACTGGCGTCCTTCAGAGCCTGGGCTCTGTCTGACAAGCCCACCTGCCTAGTTTTCTGCCCTGTTCCCTGCTCTCCCCAGCTGAGTCTTCTTTTAGCTTCTTTTTTCTACCCAGCATTTAAATACTAGTGATCGTCAGGGGTCTATCATCTATCATAGCCCATTTTTACTCCTAACCTGAAATCCACAGACTTTCCATAAGCCCACAAGTGCACTGGGGAAAGAGTATTCACAGGCCCAGCCTCTGAAATGCCACTGGGCACAAACGCACATGGAATTTTTCCAGAAAGATCACTGCTCTCTGGACTTATCCCAAGCTATCACATCCACCCTTTAGCTTCAACCTCCCCTCTATTCAGATAACCCCCAAAGCTATTCTCAAACACTATCCGGAGGCCCAGATCCCTGTGGCCAAATACTCTTTGGATATCTCCCTTTGGAAGCCTCACAGATACCTCAAAGGTACATCCAAAACTCAGACATTACCTTTGCCTCAAGCCTATTCCTCCCCTGTGTGCCCTGCCTCAGTGAATGACTCTATTCCCCATGTAGTTGCCCAAACCCACACAACTGAGAGTCATACTTAACTTCCTCCCTCTCCCACACCCCCCATATCTGGTAAATCACCAAATCCCCCTGACCTCATGGTCTAAAGTAGCTGTGGAATCCAGCCCTTCTTTTCATCTCAGCACCTCCACCGGAGCACAGCAGTGGGCTACATCAGGAGTCAAGACCACAGCTTCTGAACCAGACTACTTGGGTTCACCTTCTGGGTCTGTTGCCTATCTACATGTGTCTGTTAGGCAGTTTACTTGCCTCTCTGTGCCTTAGATTTTGTTCATCTTTAAAACAAGGGACATAATCATTCCTTAATTATTTCTGCAAATATTGCCTAAATAATGGTGAAAGTTAAAAGACTTACTATGTGTTGAAGACTTGGAAGGGTGCCTGGCCCTTCTGAGTGTTACATGAGCACTTTCTCTAGGATGAGTTCACAAACTTAATTGTCCAACCTCACATATTCGCTAATGTTAAAAGGCCAAGTATCACCCTTTGTCTCCTAAATCACTGCAGCAGCCTCTTAAGTTGTCTCTGCCTAGGGGGCAGTTGACATTTAGAAAAGGAATTCTCATTTCACCTTCCCAGTGGATTCTCCTCATTAAGATCCAGTCTGAACGCCTTAAACTCATTTTCTCTTCAATGCTTTCCCATGCTTGCTTTCATCACTTGCTTGCCCACATACCGCCCACAGGTCATAATTAACTTCTAGCAGTTTCCTAACAAGATGGTGCACTGCATCTCCTCTGGCCTGTGGCCCATGTTATTCTTTCTGCCTGGTCTTCAGGTCACCCCACTCGCAACAGCCTCTCTTCTTTTGTAATCCAGTGGCTTCTCATCTTTCCGAGAGTGTTTCCTTAAAGTTAACCCCAAGGAAAGCCTAGTGAGTGAGCACTTTATATTTAAAATTTTTTTAATTAAAATAATTATAAATCATTTCAAAATTATTTAAAATCTGATATAATTGGATTTTTTTACATCCACTCTGACAATTTTGCTTTGTAACAAGAGAATTTAATCCATTTATATATAATACAATCACTGATATTTGGAGTTTAAACCCACCATTTTGTGCTTTTTATTTGCTTCATTTATTCATATGTTTCTCTTTTCCTCACTTTTCAGTTCGGATGATTTATTGTCCATTTCTTTTTTTTTTTCTTTTTTTTGAGACAGAGCCTCAAGCTATCCCCCTGGGTAGAGTACCATGGCATCACAGCTCACAGCAACCTCCAACTCCTGGGCTCAAGTGAGTCTCCTGCCTCCGCCTCCCAAGTAGCTGGGACCACAGGC